CTATGGGGGAAATGTGAAATTTTGCTAAATTATGCATGTGCTGTGCAAAATGAGACTTAAAGAAGTCTTTGCCTCAGTCCGAGTTCCGACGTGTCGAGTAACCGTCCAACTTTTAGAACAATTTTCGTATTTGATTTTTCTTATCCTAAACTTATGTAATTCTTACAGAAGTCCATTTGCTACTCTTTTTATCCCTCCTTTCCCTTCATTTCGCTTTTTTTTCGAGCATTCCCTTTACTAATACCTAATACAATACAATAATACAATAATACCTAAAACAGCAAATAGCTAATCTCCGCCTAATTGCTATAATTACATAAATATAGTAAAAAATATATAAATAGTTGCAGATTTTTTGCCTGTAACATTATAACTTGTATGTGTATTATTAGCAAAAACTATATCTTATCTAACTTTCCGTACTATAGTCTTATTTTTTTCACCATTAGTCTTCCTTTCTCTTTTCCTACTAGTCTTCCTTTCTATTTTTCTACTAGTCTTCTTTTCTCCCTTTCTTTCAGTCAACCTTTCTCTTTTCCTACAAGTCTTCCTTTCTCTTTTCCTACAGGTCTTCTTTTCTCCCTTTCTTTCAGTCAACCTTTCTCTTTCCACACTAGCCCTTTATTCTCCTTTTTATAACTAGTCTTTCTTTCTCTTTCCATAGCAGTCTTCGACTTTCGATAATTCTAGTCTTCCTTACTTTTTTGCTTTTAGTCTTAGTTTTTTCCTACTTGTCCCCCTTTCTCTTTCCACCTTTTAGTCCACCTTTTACTTTTCCTACTAGTCTTCCTTCCACTTTTCCTACTAGCCCACCTTTCACTTTTCCTACTAGTCTTCCTTCTTCTTTTCCTACTAGTCTTCATTCCATTTTTCTTATTAGTTCACCTTTCACTTTTCTTACAAGTCTTCCTAACTTCTCCTCTTCTTTTATCGCACACTACCTTCCAAAAAGTCTTTCTTTTGCCAGTATTAAATTTTTCCTTTCAAATAGTCTTCTTTTCTTCTTTTCTTCTTTTTACTTGTCTTTCTTTCTTATTTTGTTTTCCCCTTTTTCTTCCAACCTCCTTGACAAGTAATCTTCCTTTCTTCTTCCCTCTCTGCCCCACATGATATTTCATCCGCCCTATTTAGTGATGTGAATTGATGTATGATACCTTATATGACCGGAAGCTGAGCTAAGCTGAGCCAACAGGCCGGGACAACATAAATTGCTGATGCCATAGGTTTTAACATTCACCGGGTCCTGTGACTTTTTATCAAACAAAAATTTTTCATCTATTTTGCGGATTTTTTTTCAATTTTGTGAAAAATAAGTTTCGCGGATTTAAAAAGTATATAATTTTTAACTTCTAATTTTGATATTATGTTATTATTATGTATTATTATCTAATTATCAAGTATTTGACACGTGGGGTTCTAGTAGTCGAATCCTTGGAATAAAACTAGCTACTGCAGTGTGCGGGTCAGTCTAGTACCTGCACCAGCCGAGTGTAGATACTAGACAGTTCACACTAGTTCCTACATACATAAACTCAAGTAAATTGATACTTTTTTTATATTTATTTATTTATTTTTATCAGTGCAATAATTGGTAGATTCCATTTCTCAATTACCAATTACGCAACTTAAAGTAAATATTAAATGTTGATTTTAAATAGTATATTGTCCTTACATTTGCTTTTTCTATTATTATTATTCTGCAACACTATCTAAACCTTTTACAAATCTAATATCTTACAAACTAAACTTAAGATAATATTTGATAATTCATATATATATATCTTTATGATATCATAAAAGATGGTATTTTAAAAATTAGTGATTTAAATATTTGTTTCTGTGATTAACATTTATTAAAAGAACTGAGATGGAATTTAAAGAATTTGAGCCGCAGTTTAAATCCGCCAAAACCCGGTTTAAATTAAGCGCCGGCTTAAATCTTGAAACATTTGATACAATTTTGAGTGGAACCAACCATATTTAAACCGCGGCTTAAATTTAAACCGCCGCTCAAATTCTTTAAATTCGGTCACTGGTCTCGCAATTTCAAGTGGGTCTCTATTTCAATCTTAAAAAGTGAGTAACTATGATACTTTTCATTGATTCTTCTAAATCACTAGTCAAATGAAAGGTTTTAAGATAAATTCAATCTTTCAGGGTTCTCCCTGGTACCTTAGGTAACAGATTCATCAAGAGATCCAATTATTTGGTGTGAAGCCTCAAAAGATAATTAAGTATCATGGTTACTGTCTTCTTATACAAATACTCATATAATAATATAAATATTCACGTTTATTTGTCAATTGATTATAAAAACACCATTTAAAGGTATAAACTGAAGAAAGAAAACATAGGGTCGGATTCTGCAGTAAGGCTGGTATGAATTGTTTAGCTTGTATATTTCACTCAATTATTGGCAAAACATAACAGAAAAAGCATAATTTTTCATTTTCATCGTTTTTGCTCCCGATAATATTTTTAAAGCTTATTTCCCGTGAAATCCTACCATTTTTCGAGCTTTATGTTGCCAATGACATGTAGAATCCGACCGTATAGTTTATTTGTTCAGTTTAGGCCTTTAATTGGTTTTTTTAGAGCAATTATTAGAAAAACGGGAATACAGAATTATTAGATGAGAATTTACATATTAATACAGGAGCAACACTCAGATATTCAATTATCTTTTTAGGATGTACACCAAGTATTTCGTTCTCTTTGTAAATATTTTGCCTAAGGTACCCGGGAGAACCGTGTACAATTGAATTTATGTTAAAACCCTACGTTGACATTGTTCACCCAAAGCGTTAAGCGATCGTTTTGAATCGCACTGAAACTGATTTTTCATCCTTCTTTACTGGAGTGCCAGGCGTTGCCCAGGCTTATATTATCATTATTATTCATAGTTACTCCTGCTGTTCACCCGAGCTTGGTAACACATCATGATTTTGGATAAAGTTCCCGGCGTTGCCGGAGAATTTCAAAAATGTACAATTTTTTAAATCATATGTCACCCGCGGGGTACCCGGATTGGTTTGCCTCAAAAAATTCAGCCAATTTGATTCAGCCGTTTGACCAGCTATAGCAAACATATATATGAACGATAAGATTTATTGTAAACAAGCTGAACTGCCCGGCGTTGCACGTGGAATTAAAAGAAAATAGAAAAAAATTAATATCAAAATTACAATCTCGAAAAAAATTGAATTTTTTAGCATATGTTAACCACGGGATACCCATGGGTTCCCTCAAAAAAAAATTTGGTCAAGGCGTTTAAAAAATATATTTATATATACATATATATATGAGCGAAGAACTTTATTATATCTATTCTAGAATAACGAAGACAACTAGAATTAGGTTGTTTTCTGTGTACTGTTTACCACTGAATTGCGTGTGAATGAATTCAGTATTTTTCTTTCAAATTTGTAAAATTTCTTTCTAACCTGATTGTTTCAATATTTGATATTTCAAACTTAGATTATTTCATCTGACAGAATTCATAGTTTGATATCTACAGTCTATGAGATTCGGTTGCAACAATATTGAGATTAGAAAATCTGGTTTTGTGGCATAGACTCAATTTCTTGAACCTATTTTTAAACCTATTTTCTTGAACCTATTTTTAAACCTATTTTCTTGAACCTATTTATAAGCCTATTTTCTTGAACCTATTTATAAACCTATTTTCTTGAACCCATATTTAAACCTATTTTTAAAGTTTAGAAATCAAGAATTTGAATTCGACGAAACAAGTTGAAAATCGATCTAAAAGCAAATGTTTGGGATTTTTGTCCAGATTAAGCATTAGATGCGGTTTGTTCCCGTCCTACCGTTGAACTTAAACTAATTAATTTAATCAGGATGATCGAAAGGGACGGTTCGTGATATTTAAAAACTTGGTTTACGTCTCATCCTTACTTTATTCTGGCAGTAAGAAAACTGTTTTAAGATCTCTTGATGTAGAAATTACTCTGATACTCTTCAAAAAAATTCCTAAACATTCCCTTTATCAAATAAATTGAAGTAAAGAACTATGCAAGTGTTCTGAGGTTTACAATTGCATATCTTGGAATGTTAAATGCATCGGTAAAAACCAGAATCTTTCAGCTCTCTAGATTTTGTGGGATTATCCCTTTAAAGTTTTGCATTGTTTGACATGAACGACGCTGAGGTGCGAAATAAGATCCCTTGTGCAACAATATTTTTGCATATTTTTGCATATTTCAAGTTTATAATTTCCTTGACTTCTTATTCAAGCTTTCCTGGACAATATTGTCTAATTATCTAAACTTCAACCTCGGGAACTAAATATTTTGAAATATTTCCGACTGAAAGCTGTCGACCTAGCTTATCCTGGCTGTTCTTTTAGCTTTGGCTATCCGTCATAGCTGTTCTTACAGCGCTGTCTACTCCTCCTAGCTGTTCTTTTAGCTTTGGCTATCCGTCATAGCTGTTCGTTCAGCGCTGTCTATTCGTCTTAGCTGTTCTTTTAGCTTTGGCTATCCGCCATAGCTTTACTTTCAGCTCTGTCTATCCGTCCTGGCTGTACTTTTCGCTCTGGCTATCTGTCCAGGCTGTTCTTTTAGCTCTGTCTACGTCTTTTTATCTGCTGGAACCCCTCAATGCTGTACTTTTAGCTCCATGGTACCCCTCCAAGCTGTCCTTTTATATCAATGTACCCCTTCAAGTTGTAAGTTTAGCTCCTGGAAAAAAATGTTTTCCCTGATTATAAATATGTTTTACTTGATTATAAACATGTTTTCCATGATTATAATTATGTTTTCCCTGATTATAGTTATGTTTTCCCTGATTATAAATATGTATTCCCTGATTATAAACATGTTTTCCCTGATTATAATTATGTTTTCCCTGATTATAATTATGTTTTCCCTGATTATAAATATGTTTTTCCTGATTATAAATATGTTTTCCCTGATTATAATTATGTTTTCCCTAATTATAAATATGTTTTCCCTGATTATAATTATGTTTTGTTTAAGGTGAGTTTACAAAGATTACAACTCCTCGGCAGGAACTACTGTTTAAACGTCCTGTTCAAACTAAACCTGGAGATACTAAGAAGAAGGATCCTGTAGGACTAACAGAGGTTAGAATCATCTCAATTTTTAAATCCATAATTTTATATGTTTTACAAATTCATTTCTTAGAACAAATCCCCCGCCCCCCCCCCTTCCCAAAGAGGGGCATGTCCAATTTAAAAAGATACCCTTGAAACCTTTATCTGATCAATAATGTAGAAGATAACGTCGTTTTTCTAGCTTTCAATTTTTTTTCTAAGAATTCCTAAATTATTTTCTTGCTGTTGAAATGCGCAAGTCGCTTTTGTAAGGTAACAAACAACAAATGAAAATTGGTCTTCTGAACTACAAACGTGAATATCTAATTCATACCAGATCATCTATAAAGCTTAAAAGGGTAACATTGTGAAAAGGAAAAACCACTCATAAATGTAGACACCATCTTGAGATGACGTCTACAGAGTATAACAGACCCGAACCTCACGTTTAAAGTATTCCCTGTATTTGCATAGATACTTTAGATACTTTAAATGCAAAAGGATAATTTAAATCTTTATGATGTTTTAGTGCAAAAACATTCTGCTACAGATGCACTCTTGTGTCCAGTTTGCCATTTTCCTGCAAACACATAAAAAGGCCTGTTTTCCGCCCGCTAGACTTGTTTCAAAAATGGAAATTCCTTGAGGATGATGGACTGGGGGTATATACAGGGGGGATGATGGACAGGGATGGGCCAGGGGCATATATACAGAGGGAAGGATGGACATATGAATATTTTGCCCATCAAGGTGTTTAAAAAATATATGCACAGTTTGGGTTGCTTTTAAGAAAAGATTTAATTAAAAGTGTAAATAATAGTTTTCAATTTTTTGTATGTGAATATCTATTTTCAGTTTTAATACTTTCATATTTGTATGCAAGATATTGAAATATTACTTGATAGTTGTAATTTATAAAATATCTAATATGAAAGCAATATTCCAGAGAGAAGGGGGGGGTGGAAAGTATGAAGGAGGAAGTGAGGCGTGGGGGGGGGGGTGCTCATCTTTCCCTGTCAGTTAAGATAGATGGATAGTTAGTACGTATTAGTAATAGGATTTAAAATATTCAAATTTCAAGGAACAGATCACTCTTAACAACATAAAAACAATATTGATAGAAATTGGATAAAGGAACTGAGCTTTTGCCACAAACTCTAATTTTCTAATTCCTATTTCTTTTCGACATGTTGGTGTAAACCTTTGATATTTCAAATTTAGATTATTTAATCTATCTAACAGAAGTAATAGAATGAAATATCTAAGGTATCCGACAATAAGTTGCTAATATATGGATAACAATATTTGAGTTGGTGACAAAAACTCAGTTCTTTTTTTAACTCAACAAAAAATTTAAACAATATTTTTTCTTTCAGGATCAGAAAACTTTTGAAGGAGAGGAGAAAATAGAAACAATTGTGACCCCTGGTATTAAAGCAGAAGATTCTTTTATTGCGCAGACAGATCCATCTAGCGGTGGGTTTAGGAACTACAGAAGTTCCTCCGGTGTGCCCAGGAACCTGTGCCTCAGTATAATATTGACAAGAATGGCACCAAATATGGAAGCTGAGAGAGAAGAGGCAGAGGATCCAATGAAAAGTAAGTTTGCAGGGACCGAAATTAACGAATTTGATCTAGGTCACTGAACTCCTGGAGCCGGTTCACCGACCTAGCGCGACGTTATTAAAGGAATAAAGTGTTTGTGCAAACTAATATTCTCTAACCCCTATATCTTTGCAACCTAATAGTGTAAACCTTTGTTATTTCAAACTTAGATCATTTAATCTCACAGAATTCATAGTTTGAAAAATTCAAGGTCTGCAACATGTGGCTTGCACAGATATCGGGATTAGACAATTAGAGTTTGTGGCAAAGATGTAATTAGATTTGAATTTAGCCTGACATAATTAAATTATTGTAAGTCATGAATTTTTAATATAAATTAATCAACTCAAACTTCTTGAATATGATAAACAAAGTAAAAATCGTTTAGTTTAATTTTACAAAATATGAATTTATTCAATTTTTTTCCCGTGAGTCCCAGCATACCCCGTTATGTGTCCCAGTACCCTCTTTCAAATGTCCCCCAAGTTCCAGGACCTAAATATAAATTTCATTTTTAATCAAGATTTTGCATATTCTGACTAAGCGCAAAAAATTTATACAAAATTGCAGATTTAGAGAAACAGAGTACGAACCATGGTAAAAGTTGAATCAATATTTTTTAGAAATTTAAATTTTGACCAGAATATAACCGGACAATAATTTGAAGAGACAACACTGAAATAGAAAAAAACTTTTGATAAAATATCCATAGTTTTCATCATAATTACAGACAACAATTTAAATAAAAAAATTGCCCTAATTGGTTTCCAGCATTTTTTTTGTATTTCGGTCTGTCAATTTCTATTTTTCAAGTTAATAAATTACGAAGACATTTTCATCAGATCCCAGAAATTTTTGTTTTAGAAACTTTTAGGCTATTTCTAAATTTTAAATCACTTAAAATAAGCAAACAGTCGTCTCAATTGTTCCAATAAATCTTGAAAGCGACAAATATTTTGATTTAACATAATTTGTTTGTCTCCCTTTCCTGCCGTAGCCACTAGCTAGGCATAATCTTGCAAAATATTTATTTGTCGGGTTCAATATCCTTGTCTTTCCTTGTCTATCCTTGAATTTCCTTGTCTATCCTTGTCTATCCTGTCTATTCTTGTCTATCCTTGTCTATCCTTGTCTATCCTTGTCTATCCTTGTCTATCCTTGTCTATCCTTNATTTCCTTGTCTATCCTTGTCTATCCTGTCTATTCTTGTCTATCCTTGTCTATCCTTGTCTATCCTTGTCTATCCTTTTCTATCCTTGTCCATCCATGCCTATCCTTGTCTATCCTTGTCTATCCTTGTCTATGGCCTTGTCTATCCTTGTCTATCCTTGTCTATCCTTGTCTGTCCTTGTCTATTCTTGTCTATCCTTGTCTATCCTTGTCTATCCTTGTCTATCCATGTCTATCCTTGTCTAATGTTTATCCTTGTCTAATGTCTGTCCTTGTCTAATGTCTATCCTTGTCTAATGTATATCCTTGTCTAATGTCTATCCTTGTCTAATGTCTATCCTTGTCTATATTTAGATATTTATTGCCAATATTTTGTTTGTATTTAGCACTTGTTTGATAGTTTTCTATAAATGTTTTACATTTGTTCTAGAAAGATTTATGATAATGTCATAACTGCAACTTATATAAGAGAGGGGAGAGAGAGGCAAAAGCATAGATGGGGTAAATATGAGGGGGGGAGGGATAAAGTCATAGATGGGGTGAATATGAGGGGGGAGGGATAAAGGCTTAGATGGGGTAAACAAGAGGGGGGGGGAGGGATAAAGGCTAAGTAGGGTGGGAGAAAATACTGGAAATATTTTAAATTGAATCCCAAGAGTCTCAATAAACATGAAAGTTTATCTTTTCCGAAAATTTTCCTTTTTTTGGGAAGAAAAGAATAAGATTTCCTTTATTTAGAAGGAAGTATAAATTAGGTCTAATGTGTCGATTAAAATATGAAAACATATAGAGTTTTTATTTATTTTTATCTTTTGGTTTAAGCTGTAAATTGTGATATTTTCTCCTATTTATTGAGTTGATTTCTTCAAACAATTCAGTCTTGATATTTTTAGCAAGATGCAGCTTGCACGAATGTTGGCGGAAAATAATTTGATAAAAGTTTATATAGTGTCTAGTAAATCAAGGGAGAGAACTAATAATTGAATATTTAGGTGATCTGTCCCGAGCTAAAGCTAAATCAGTCAGGTTTGATACAACATCCAAGGACGGAGAAACATTAGCTCCTCCTCCTCCTCCTCAAACCTTACCAGGACTAGATCCAGACTCAGTTTATGTAGTTTCAGGTGGAGTAAGTCATCCTTCTTATCCTGCTCATCCTACTGATCCTTCTTATCCAACTGATCCTACTCATATCAACCATCCTACTCATCCTTCTTATCCTACTAGTCCAACTTTTCCTACTGATCCTATTAATACCAACCATCCTACTCATTCTATCAATCCTACTCCTACTGCTCCTTCTATTTATCCTATTCATCCTATTCCTCCTTCTCCTCCTACTCCTCCTATTCATCCTACTCCTTCTACTAATCCTAAAGATCCCAGGAGGCCATCCTACGCTTCCCAACCCTCTTTCTCCTCCTACTCCTCCTACTAATTCTACTCCTCCTACTCCTCCCGCTCCTCCTACTCCTCCTACTTCTCCTACTCCTCCTACTCCTTATACTCCTCCTACTCCTCCTACTCCTCCCACTCCTCCTACTCCTTCTACTCCTTCTACTCTTCCTACTCCTCCTACTCTTCCTACTAATTCTACTCCTCCTACTCCTCCTACTCCTCCCGCTCCTCCTATGTCTCCTACTCCTCCAACTTCTCCAACTCCTCCTGCTCCTCCTACTCCTCCTACTCCTCCTACTCCTCCTAATCCTCCTAATCTTCCTACTCCTCCTACTTATCCTACTCATTCTACTCATCAAGCGAAAACCTATTAAAATACATTTAAACATTTTTTTTTGTATTTTAAAGTTTGAATAATTGAATAATTGAATAATTAAGATGACCATATATCTTCTGATCCAAAGAAACTAAATCTTAATCTAATATTGTTAACCTGAGACTGTTAAGAAACTGCATAGAAACTCTAAATAAAATAATTAAAACCTACACCATTGTTTTTTAAAGCATCCATTAGATTCTATTAAGAAGTATAAGAACATCAGTTTAAACCCACTCTAATATCTGATAAAGAAATTTGGCAGTAAAACCAACATTTTCTTCTTTTGCAAAATGCCATTTGGAAAAACGCTTATCAAGAAATATGAACATAAGATTATACTTGTTCAGGTCCTTTTCAATACTACGACCCTGGTCAAAACCTTGTGACCGGAATGCTGATGGCAACACCTATTCCCCAGGGAGTTACAGTTGTAGCGGTTCCCTCCGGTCAACAGCCTTCGCAACAGCTTCTTCAGCAGTATCAACTGCAACAACAACAGAAACAGAAGCAGCAACAGCAGCATTCTCCAGTTCAGAAATCTTCTGAGGAAAAGCCAAGATATTTAAACCCTGCTCAGGGTTCAGTGTTTCCTCCGGTTCAAGCTCCGGGAGGCGGACAGTATCCGCCCCAGCCTGAGTGTTGTGATGGGTACATGGAGCCACCCTCTACTCCGGTCTATCCTTGTTTTAACAACGCTTCTCCACCATTAGTTCTAGACTCCGCCAGGGCCCCAGGTCCCTGTCTTGTAATGGGCGGAGGATTGAATAACTCCGCTCCGAGAATGCAAATCCCAGTCAAGAACACAGGAGACGGATGTCCACTCCACCGCCCCCACTCCGGTACTCCATACATGATGTATTGGGACTCCAGCCATCCGTCCGGAGTATCAATTCCTCTCCGACAACCCAACCCTCCTGTATACTACAACCTCCCGGAGAAAGAGTCCCCAATTATGTCGGGTGCCCAGAGCCCGACCAGTGATATGACAATCACCTCCTCCTGTTCTGATATGTCGGGAGAGGAGAATACGGATGCTCACGAGGAGAACCTAACCCAGCAAATGTCTTATCTTTCCTTCAATCCAACCTTCAACGGACAAAACTCACAGAATGCCAATGAACAACTTAGTAATAACTATAACGCTCCCATCAACATGGCTGTCAACAATCAAAATATCCAAACTAATAACAGTCAAACTATCCACACTGTTAACGGTCATTTCAACCAGATTGGTATTAACGGTATATCAGGGTGCCAACAGGACCAATACAATAGTCTAGGAGCTAGAGGATACTATATTTCCAACCCTGAATCCGGTGAATTAAACTCCAGGTCCTCCATCTCCTCTGCTCAAAACTCTGGTCAACCCAAGAATATGCCGGTAGGTCGACCCATCCCTCATATGTCGGTTGGAAACCAGAATTTCGTTAACGGTCCTAGCTCTCCTCCGATTCTAGTTCCTGCTCCAGTTCCTGGTTTAGTAGGGCTGGACGGAGGAATGTATCCGAGGGTTCAAAATTCTCAACAACAGATCTATGCACCACACCACAACATCCAGGTCAGTAAATACACGGAGAAAAAGTGCGTGAGGTGGGCGGGGGGGGGGAGGAAGCGGTTTTTATATTTAATCGTGAGATTACGATTGTCTCAATACATACAGAGACCATAAACCTTCTCCTTGAAGAGAAAGAAGGGGCAATAATGGTGTAAATTATAGGAAAAGAACTTGAAGAACTTGAAGAACTTGAAGTACTTGAAGAACTTGAAGTAACTGAAAACCAAGTAAAGAGTTGACACATGTTCTGAAGAGGTCGTTAATAAAGGGTATTTGATGTAAAAACAGAAGAGTTGGCTAAAAAGAAGACAAGAGAGAATTTGAAATGAAGAAGAAATAAAGATACAGCGAGGGGAAAAAAGAAAAGACAAGAAAGAAAAGGAAGATAGGGGAGGGAAAATGAAAGGAAGGAAAAGTAAGGAAAAGGAAGAAAATGTAGTTAGACTAGCCTTAGAGGGCGCTTCGCGCCCATCTTCTAAATTAATTGTGAACATGTTCTCTTTGTGTACATCGTAAAACAAAACAAAAATAATTCGCGGATTTTCAAAAAAAATTTCGTGGATTTTCAAAATTTTCAAAAATTTAATGAAGATCGAATTTTGATGGAGACAAATATTTGAAATTTTGATCATTCATAAACCTTCCCTGTGGTCACGTGATGTCCCACAAAATATTAGGGCCCGATCGGTTCAGCCGTTTTGACGTTTATTCGATACAAACAAACAGACAAACAGACAGACAAGCCAAATTTATCTATAGATGAAGTAATAAGAAAGAAAAAGTAGTGAAATGAAGGGAAAGGAAGGGAAAGGAAGGGAAAGGAAGGGAAAGGAAGGGAAAGGAAGGGAAAGGAAGGGAAAGGAAGGGAAAGGAAGGGAAAGGAAGGAAAAGGAAGGGAAAGGAAGGGAAAGGAAGGGAAAGGAAGGGAAAGGAAGGGAAAGGAAGGGAAAGGAAGGAAAAGGAAGGGAAAGGAAGAAAAAGGAAGGAAAAGGAAGGGAAAGGAAGGGAAAGGAAGGGAAAGGAAGGGAAAGGAAGGGAAAGGAAGGGAAAGGAAGGGAAAGGAAGGGAAAGGAAGGGAAAGGAAGGGAAAGTAATGAAAGGAGAAAAATAGTGAATGGAAGGGAAAGAAAGAACGAGGAAGAAAAATATAGGAAAAAGAAGAAATAAAGAAAAGCAAAAAAAGAGAGGAAAGAAAAATAAGAAACAGGAAAGAAAATGAAGGAAAGTGAAGGAGAAGAAAGTTAGAGCAAGGAAAAAAAAGGGAGTGGAAGGAAAAGGTTAGGAGAAAGTAGGAAAAAGAAAGAAAGCAGAGGAAAAGATAGGAAAGAGAAGAAAGTGGCAGGAAAATGGTTTTAGAAAAAAATTGTGAAAAAACTTTCAAATGAAGAAAAAAGGTTTAAAAAGCAGAATGAGGAAAAAGTATTGATTAAATAGAAAGCAAAGTAATAAAATTAAGAAGGTGGTCATAGTAGTAAATAAGAGAAAGTTCACTGTTGTATGAGTTTAAAAGGGACATTTGCATATATGAGAGATACAGATAAATACAATTAAACGAGTTCAAGAATGAAAAGAACGTTAAAAAGGAGTAAAACTATGTGAAACTATGTCAGATAGATCTATTTCACACTTTTAACAAACCCTAGACCTTGTTTAAAATGAAAACAAAGACCAGAAGTAAAGATCTAGTTAGGTCCAGGGTTGACAAGGCAAATTGATTGATTGAAAAACAGGGCCGCCAACATGATTAAATACTTACAAACGTCAGCAATGCACTAGAGAATGACAGAAACATTGATGCTTCTCAATACCTTGTTTATGTTTGCTCATGTGGCTTTGTGGAATTTCAACATTTATTTGTGGATTTTAACGAATTTGTTGAATACTAATAAGAATGTTTGTTGATTATATTCTTTTGTCCGAATTTAACATAAAATGTGTTGACTATTAAAGATAACAAAATAATTGTTATGTAAACTACATTCTTCTCTCATGCATAATTTGCAACTTATTTTCGATTTTAATCTAAAATTCTTGCTTTATGAAAAAACTATTTTACGATGAGGCGATGTATATATTTTACAATGCGTCGATGTATATATTTTACGATGAGCCGATGTAGCCGATGTATATATTTTACAATGAGCCGATGTATATATTTTACAATGAGCCGATGTATATATTTTACAATGAGCCGATGTATATATTTTACGATGAGCCGATGTATATATTGTACAATGAGCCGATGTATATATTTATTAGAAGAACATCCTAAACTCTAATTCTAAACTCAACTAAACTAGATGGAAAAGTATTTCACCTTTTTTGTGACAATTTTTGTGTAGATTTATAAAGATGATATTTCAATGGTTGTTTGATAAAAAAAATGTTGTTTCAAATAAAATTAAACCAAAAAACTTAAAATTGTACTTCTTCCATTATGAAAATGTGTAGATGTGTAAAAATAATTGAAATATATGAAATGTAGTCTGAAGTAAATCGCTGCATGAATTTGATATCTGTACTTTATTTTTATTCCAGTTCATTAAACATCAAATATCATGGGTAACTATAGACCACCATTCCACTGCAAACTAGAAGTTATGATTGAAAACATATAAGAAATACAAGTACAGTATTGTTATGATAAATACTATTTTTATGAAATGCATAACACAGTTTAGCTTAGGTGTTATATTTAAAACCTAATTGAAAAACTATTTCAAGCTTCCATTTTTATATTTATTACCCAGGGGTGTCAATATCACACAAGTATTTATTAGTTCTAAGTCCCGCCTCTTTGTACCGCCATTTTCTTTCTTTTCTCCTCCCCCCCCCCCCCCCCCCTCCCTTTCTCAAATATCTCTTCTCACTCTCCCTGTCCCTCCTACTTTTAAAAAATCTTGTCACACTCTCTACCTGAGAAAATAAGATAATAGTGTTTCCAAAAACAATATTACAATACCTTTGCAGAACCCGGGTTGTCTTTCAATTAAAAATATGAAAATAGTGTTGTTATAAGTTTTGAATAGATTTAAAGAAAAATGTATTAAATCTTCCAAAATTTAAAAACTTTATTATGTTAACGTTTGTTTCTACTAAAACAAAGAAAAACAATCAAAAACGATCGCTCCTACACGTATTTTCGTTTTTGCATCGTTTTTTTGGGTCGTTTTTGCACCTATCTTCTGTCAGTGTCAAAAGTGTAAGAAAAAATGTTAAAAATACAAATTTTTAAAACAAATGCTATTTTTCTACTATGCCAAATTTTGACCCTAAATAAAATATAGACAAAAAACGACACAAAAACGACCCATAAACAACCCAAAACGACCCAAAAACGACCAAAATGACCCAAAAACGACCCAACTGAAGGCACATCACTATGTGCGGGCAAGTAAAGTTTTTACCAATTTACATAAAAATTTACCGTTCATATCTTTTAATTTTTGCTAAATAAACCAACAACAAAACTGCCAAATATGAAGTTAGACTCAAAATAGTCCCAGAAACATATAACAAAGCAATTGTGCACTGTGTTGAATGAAGATGAATGTTCAAGCACTGTGTCTGTATGCTGCAGTTAGTTTATCACACAGCTAATTTTATTTAAAAATACGGTCTGTCATCTTTACTGGTACAAGAAATTATCATGATTATCAGGATTAACTTTAAATTAAGGTTTAATAATAATCTTTAATCCGAATTCAGAATATTTACGAAAAATATATATACATATAATCGATGTCGAACAAAATATATAAATATATATGTATATACAATACATATGCTATTTCGAGTTCGAAAGCCAAAGGTGTAAACAATTTTAGTTAAAACTTATTTTAAAAAATTAAATTCCCAAAAATAAGTCACGAGAAAAAATTCCGCTGTTCTAAGCGGTTAATTGGGATAAGTTAACCTAATTCTATCCAGGCATAATATATAATCAAGGAATTTGAAATACTGCTTTGAATATTTAGAAAGTATCCCGGGACTTCATGAAGTAATAACAGAAAAAAATGTCGTAATTTTTGTTCTGAAAAGAATCCCCCCAAAAATTATAATTTATGTCTAGATGTACCCGCAGCAGATGATGTACCCTGTGAGTAGTGGTACCGGCCCGCTATACCCTGTTCCAGTCGGCATGAGCCCAGCAGGCCCTGTTTACAGTAACGGACATACCCCTGTACAGTACAGTACCGGACAGGCCCCTGTACAGTACATGTACCATCAAGGGAATCAGAATACACTATATGAACCCAACCCAACACAGAGGAATACAATGGTAAGGAGACCTAGATCATAGAAAAAATGAAGGGGAAAAAACCTCCGATGCCTTTGTACAGTGTACACGATAAATCACTTCAGCACAATTTCTGGAGTGGTGCATTGTGTTCGTACACTGTACACTACTGTACACCCCCACATCTTAAATGATGCTGATATTTTTGTTGTTTTTGTGACACATTCCTTTTTTAGGTTTGAAAGCTTTGCAAATTGTATTTTAGGGAAGTTTCTAACTTTAATTTCCAAGTAAAAAACATTACAAGTATTTTTGTTCAAAACTGTTGAATTTGATAGACTTTTTATTAAACTTTTCACAGACAAATTTGGTTTCCCCATTTTTTCCCAACTTGAGGTTTCAGATGTGCCAGCTGAATACTTAAATTATTCGTCCTGAGATCGAACGGCACTTTTGTGTGGATATTGTTAATCTTAAACTCTCGATCTCGATATCTAATGAGTGGTATTTTAAATTTGATAATCAACGCTTGATCTCTCAATTCAAGTTATCCCTGCAGGGCATGACCATCACGGGATATCGAAAAGAAATAAATTGCTTGATCCCAATATTCAAACCACAAACGTTCTGACTTCTGTTTATATTCCAATGAAAAAAATACAAAATAACTAAAAACGAAAATTTAACGAGCATTGAACAATAGGAGAATAAATCATTTTACACGTTATGTCCAAATATTATACTTCCTAACAATTCTTATTAATTATAATATTTTTGCTTTCCAGGTTCACTAAAATACTGAGCACTTCTTGAAGAAGGAGGAGAAGGAGGGGAAATTGGAGAAGAAGGAGAAGAAGGAGAAGTAGAAAAAGGGAGAAGAAGAAGGAGAAGAAGTGGGAGAAGAGAGAAGAAGAGAAAGATGATGATGTGCAAATAATTTAATAAAAAATTGTTGTAAAATTATGGAAATTGTTTTTGGGAATATTATAAATAAAATATTTCTTTTCAAATCATTTTAACAAGAAATAAGTATGACATTGTAAACTAGACAGAAGAAGCAGGTAAACTGAATGCCACAACACTGGTACAGCTCCTCCAGAAGAAGCAGGTAAACTGAATGCCACAACACTGGTACAGCTCCTCCAGTTTTGGTTTTATACACACGAACGAGAGAAGCAAATTTATCCGGTTACACAATATAAATTTATCCGGTTACACAATATAAATTTATCCGGTTACACAATATAAATTTATCAGGTTACACAAGATAAATTTATCAGGTTACAGAATATAAATTTATCAGGTTACACAATATAAATTTAAAATATTATTTTAAAAACTGATCATTTTCAACCGATGTTTCTCTACTGCAGGAAAACAAAGAAATTATAAGAATTAAACACTTTTTAAAAACGGCATTATATTTCAAATTATTGATCAGATAAAGGTTGCTAGGGTACTGTTGTGAATCGGGCATGTCCCTCTGTTTTTATGGATTGTCACTCTAAATTACTTTATAGTTTTTTTGAGGCCCCGGCTTTAAAATCCAAAAAAACTTGATTAATTTCCATTCAAATTTCTGTTAAAGTGATTTTCGGACATTAATTGCCAGTATTGATCTCTTTTCAAGAAAAAAAGGAAATGCTCTTCATTGCTTATAAACTTAGACATGGGAATATCTCCTAAAATTAATTACTTTTTTATTCTATTTTTTCTTATTTTATTCTTACAATAAAACCAATTAATTTGTAAAATAGGAAAACAATTGTTAGACTTAAATTATGACTTTCATTGAGGTAACAAAAGTTATTATCTGTTGTCATAAATATGTATTTCATTAATACGTTTGACATAACCCGATTTTTATAAGTTTCACTTTTCATACATTCCAAAAGTTGTAAATAACATAAGTCATAACTTTCATTTGTCATATACAAATACGTTTTTTATAGTAAACAAATCATACATTTGTCGAAATCTATCCAATTTTAACATTTTTCTAGAGTTCAATATCATGTAGTGGAAGGAAAGTCCGAAAATATAAACAATACTCCCCGGAGTAACCTGTCAGAGATGTCATGGTCCTATTCAACAGTTTTAGGGCAAAACTATTAACAGATGGAGACGGTCAACTGTATGCAACATTTCAGCACCGACTTTGTGACCTCGTAGCTCCTCTATTTTTGATGTAACGCACTTAAGTTTATAGCTTTAATAATTTAATTTAATTTTACAATATTTTATCGCACTTATGTATCAAGTTACATATTACAATATTAAAACCTAGCTTTAATCTTCTCAATAGCTCTACAACAAGAGGAGATATGGTGGACTACATAAAAATAACATAATTTTCAATCTCACGTTCAATTTACTTTATTTTAACATCACACTGTTTACTGTTTACTTTATGTTTAGCTTAATAAAAAGGATGCATTCATGTTATTAGATGTGGATGAGGATAAAGATGAGTTTTTAAGGAACACCCTGCAAAAACTAAAGATAATATGTTCTTTTTATAAAATACTCCCTGTTGGTCATAGAAGCTCGATGATTCAATTTTCCGCTGTTTTCTGCTGAGGTCACTACATTTAGCGAAATCTGTTCTTTATCTTTTTTATCTTTTTTATCTTTATAACTTTCTTTATGTTATTATTCATTGGGTCTTTTGCAATATGACTTCTAACAGAAATTTCAAGGATTTAAAGGAACTGTCGACGTGCTTAAAGGAACTGTTGACGTGTTTGAAGGGACTGTCGACGTGTTTAAAGGGACTGTCGACGAAATTTAAAGGGACTGTCGACGTGTTTAAAGGGACTGTCGACGTGTTTAAAGGGACTGTCGACGTGTTTAAAGGGACTGTCGACGAGTTTAAAGGGACTGTCGACGAGTTTGAAAGGACTGTCGACGTGTTTAAAGGGACTGTCAATGTGTTTAAAGGGAATGTCTAAGTGTTTAAAGGGACTGTCGACGTGTTTAAAGGAACTGTCGATGTGTTTAAAGGAACTGTCGACGTGTTTAAAGGAACTGTCGACGTGTTTAAAGGAACTGTCGACGTGTTTGAAGGGACTGTCGACGTGTTTGAAGGAACTGTCGACGTGTTTAAAGGGACTGTCTAAGTGTTTAAAGGGACTGTCGACGTGTTTAATGGGACTGTCGACGTGTTTAAAACGACTGTCTAAGTGTTTAAAGGGACTGTCTACGTGTTTTAAGTGACTGTCGAAGTGATTAAAGGGACTGTCGAAGTGTTTAAAGGAACTGTCGATGTGTTTAAAGTAACTGTCGACGTGTTTAAAGGGACTGTCAACGTGTTTAAGGAACTGTTGACGTGTTTAAAGGGACTGTCGACGTGTTTAATGGGACTGTCGACGTGTTTAAAACGACTGTCGATGTGTTTAAAGGAACTGTCGACGTGTTTAAAGGAACTGTTGACGTGTTTAAAGGGACTGTTAACGTGTTTAAGGAACTGTCGACTTGTTTAAAGGGACTGTCGACGTGTTTAAGGAACTGTCGACGTGTTTAAAGGGACTGTAGACGTGTTTAAAGGAACTGTCGTCGTGTTTAAAGGATCTGTCGACGAGTTTAAAGGGACTGACGACGTGCTTAAAGGAACTGTCGACGTGTTTAAATGAACTGTCGACGTGTTTAATGGGACTGTCGACGTGTTTAAAGGGACTGTCAATGTGTTTAAAGGAACTGTCGACGTGTTCAAAGGGACTGTCGACGTTTTTAAAGAAACTTTCGACGTGTTTAAAGGGACTGTCGACTTGTTTAAAGGGACTGTCGACGTGTTTACAGGGACTGTCAACGTGTTAAAAAGAAACGTCGACCTGTTTAAAGGAACTGTCGACGTGTTTAAAGGGACTGTCGACGTCTTTAGAGGGACTGTCGACGTGTTTAAAGGGACTGACGACGTGTTCAAAGGGACTGTCGACGTGTTTAAAGGAACTGTCGACGTGTTTGAAGGAACTGTCGACGTGTTTAATGGGACTGTCGACGTGTTTAAAGGGACTGTCAACGTGTTTAAAGGGACTGTCGACGTGTCCAAAGGGACTGTCGACGTTTTTAAAGGAACTGTCGACGTGTTTAAAGGGACTGTTGACGTGTTTAAAGGGACTGTCGACTTGTTGAAAGGGACTGTCGACGTGTTGACAGGGACTGTCAACGTGTTAAAAGGAACTGTCGACGTGTTTAAAGGGACTGTCGACTTGTTTAAAGGAACTGTCGACGTGTTTACAGGGACTGTCAACGTTTTAAAAGGGACTGTCGACGTGTTCAAAGGGACTGTCGACGTTTTTAAAGGAACTGTCGACGTGTTTAAAGGAACTGTCGACGTGTTTAAAGGGACTGTCGACGTGCTTAAAGGGACTGTCGACGTGTTTACAGGGACTGTCAACGTGTTAAAAGGAACTGTCGACGTGTTTAAAGGGACTGTCGACTTGTTTAAAGGAACTGTCGACTTGTTTAAAGGAACTGTTCACGTGTTTAAAGGGACTGTCGATGTGTTTAAAGGAACTGTCGACGTGTTTAAAGGGACTGTCGACGTGTTTAAAGGGACTGTCAACGTGTTTAAAGAGACTGTCGACGTGATTAAGGGGACTAAATTTAAATTTTCTAATTTTCTAATTTTGTTGGTTTATTAATATTTCTCCTGAAACAATTTGGTATGTTTTTGTTATATTTCAATAAAAATAGTTACTGATTTACTTGCTAACCTTGTAGCCTGGCCTAATCGTACAAACCATGGTTATTTTAATCTTAGATTATTTGATCTAACAGAATTCATATTTTGAAATAAAATTTGGTTGCAAAGATATAGGGACAAGAAAATCAGAGTTTGTTGCAAATTCTCCAATTTTTTATTTATAGTTCATCTTTAATACTATTTGTAACACATTTTTGTCTATTAATCATATTGTGTATAGCATTTGTAATCAAACAAAAGACCTCTGCTCTTTTCAGATTTGGAATTAAAAGTTTTGAACTCGATTTAACTTATTTAAAAGTTTTGAACTCGATTTAACTTATTTAAAAGTTTGGAACTCGATTTAACTTAATTATAAGGGAATTTTCTACACGACAGAAATATACTTCGTTCTTTTAAAAACTCTAAAAAAGAAAAACAGGAAAATGTCCAAAAAATATTATTTATCTATAAATGTGAATCAAAGAATTATAAAAAAGTTGCAGGACTAGGAAAGGGGAGCAAAAAATCTTTTTAAAAGTTTAAATCAACTTTCCCTAATGTCTGTCCTGGTGCAATTGCAATTAAAAAGTTTTGCTTGTTTTCCTCTCATGTTTTCTAATAAACAAGAGCAAAAAAACAAGAGGTAACATATCTTTAATAAAGGGGACTATAGACACAATTTCAAGTGACCTTCCAAGAAAATATGTCGTCCTTAGAAGTGTTTAATTCTGATAAGTTCCTTTATAAAATCTGTAGAATAAATATACAATTTTATTTAGAAACCAAAACTAAACATAATAATATTTTTTCTTAACATTGGGATATCTCATTCCTGCTCTGAAGTTCAAACAAAGATTATGTGGTACCATTGTGAATTGGAGATTGTGTGGTCAATTGTGAATTGGAGATTCCACACCATATGTGGAGGGTCCCTTCTAATTACGTAAGTAATATAAAGGATAGTTATATATATGAAACCTTTTCTAATATTTATTGTTCAAAAGTACTCTATTATACTATAGTTGCAATTAAAGCCAATACATTCAATATCCTTCCTCCCCCCCTCCCTTGCACGGCGCCACGCCCATTTATGTGCAAAGCTTATAGCTGCCCCACCCCTCTTCTTGCACCTCCCCCCCCCCCAGCATTGAACAAAAGGATTATTGGATTATTATGTAATAGCCCTACTTCAATGATGTAA